TTTGAGTGTTCTAGGGAAATCCCATACCCGGAATACCGCAGGACTAAAACTTCTTCCCATAAGGAATGCAGTATCACCATGGACTACTGATCATCCACGGGAAATACTTTACTACTGTCGCAGTCCATCCAGCACAAGTCCTCCCTCAGACTCTCTCTATAGTATAGGAATTTACAATATAATGGTGTCTTTTTTTTACTACTATCCAAGAGACATTTTTGGCATACTAGTACCTCAAAAAACGAGCGTTTCTAGCAGTATACCTCATCCGGTCACTGTGATATACAAGCCTAACCACCACATCCAGGTAACAACAATCGGTAGGAGAGTACAGGAATAAACCATCGAAAATCCATCAGCTTAGTCTTTGAAAATCAACGCAAAAGCAGTCCCAGTTACTCATAGAATCGAAAGTCAACTACTGTCCACTATTAACCTTAAAAATCTTATTGCAATTATGACCACAGTATTTCAGTATCCAAAAACAAATGAATTGTACAAGAAGATATGATGCGATGGAATGTTTTCAGATGATTATATCTACTACACATTATAATTAATTGATATTTAAAAACAAAAAAATAAACTGTAAACGTTTGCCAACGGCCATAAGAGAATTTTAGCACAAACAAAACGTTGTGATACCTTCACCATCCACAAACAAAAGTTGTAAGAAAATCGAAAAAATAAGTATTGAAAAAAAAATGGTAATGCATTAAAAAAAAAGGTTTATTCTAATGAGTTAATTCAGAAGACTATTTACTCAGTTTAGCTTCTGTGTAATTATTTTATTATGATAATTATGTTAAGTCTTTTGATTGGGTGATCCGTACTCTAAACTGTGGTAATGGTTATACGAGGAAACACTAGTAAGAATAACAGAATGAATGACTATGAGAAATCAATAGCACTAAATGCAATGTGAAGTGAGCTGTCAGTATCTCCTCGTGAGTGATTCAAAAGCTTGCCCTCATGAACTGTTTTGTTATTCTTTGCTTCCTATGATGGTTTTGTCATCGACTGCATAGATCTTCCCACTGGCTGTTTCACTGCCTGACCTCTAACCTTGTTGCTATCATTTCTCTTCTAAGTTGATAGATTGGGTCTATATCCATACCTCTACTGATTGCTGATTGACCTGAATGCCAAGCTTTTAGGGATTCTCTGGTATTCTTTGTGCTTCCTCTGTCCAAAATTTCTACACTGTCAAAATTGAACTCATTCCTATAGTTATCCACATGCACTGAAATGAGTGACGAATTGTCTTGGAGTTCAGTAGCCAATTGGTGCTCATGTAGACGAAGGCGAAGAGGGCGGCCGCTTTGTCCAATGTAGTGCTGACTACAGTTATTGCAGTTGACTTTGTAAATGATATTCGGTTTGTCTTCTTTGGTTGTCACATCCTTTGGTCTGCATAATAGTGCTTGGAGGGAATTTGTTGGTTTATGAGCCACACCAATTCCAAGTGGTCTCAGTAATCTTGTCGTAATTTCTGATATACTCTTTATGTATGGTAAGATGATGCGTTTGTTGATTTCTGTCGATGACTTTGTAGTTGTTGATGCACGGGATAGGCATCTCCTGATAAAGTTTCATGGGTAACCATTTTACCTTAAGAAAGACATCAAGTAATTTTCTTTGTTTCTCCGTGAAGTTATTGTACTGCAGTGTGTTCTTGCTCTTCTAAATATAGTCTGTACACAACTGATCTTGTGGGTTGTTGGGTTGTTGCAACTGTAGTTGAGGGCTCGGTCAGTGTGTGTTGGCTTCGTGTACACTTGAGTTTCCAGCTTTCCGGCATTTGTCCTACTGACTAAAACATCCAGGAATGGTAGTTTGTTGTTTGACTCTTTCTCCATTGTGAAGTTGATGTCATTGAAAACGTTGTTTATCAAACTGTGGGTATTTTCTATATCATCCTTTTTAATGATGACAAAAGTGTCGTCTACGTGACGAATCCAAAATTTTGGTTTGATCACAGGTAGAATGATGGCTTCCAGTCTTTGCATCACTGCTTCTGTAATTGATCCGGATATCGGTGATCCCGTTTCAGTTCTTTTCATTTGTGAGTATATCTTGCCGTTAAATTGGAAATATGTTGTCAGACAAAGGTCGATGAGTTCCATCAGACTTGAACATTTACGTTTAATGCGTTCTGTAAGGCTTGTGTCTCCATTGAGCAGAAGGGACATAGTTTCCTTGGTCAATTGGGGTTCGATTTATGTGTATAATGCTGTGATATCGAAGGATACTACTAATTCATCGTTTTCTATATTAATACTTTTGATCTTTTCTAAGGATTCTGTTGGTGATTTGTTGGAATGTCCGCATGACTGAATGAGGTGTTTCAGTTTTCTCCAAAGTTTTCCTGATATGTTGTATGTTGGAGTTCCTGGAAGTGAGACAGTTGGTCGTAGAAGGATATCAGGTTTGTGTATTTTTAGTTTGCCGTAGAACTGAGGAAGGACAGGTCCATTCGATTTCATTCTCCATTTGTCTTACTTTGTTATTTCTTTTGCTTTGATGAGTTTGTTCAAGGTTTTATTGATCTGGTTGTCAAACTTCTGGATAGGGTTGGTTTCAAGTAGTTGATATACATTTTCGTAATTCCTCTGCTTTCCTGATGTAGTCTTCTTTGTCCGTGACTACTGTAGTGCGTCGCTTATCTGCTGGAAGTATAACGATGCCTTTCCTATTTTTCAGCCTTTTTAATGTTTTCTGTTCTTGAGTGTTCACTTGAGCGTGATGTTTCATCTGCCTGGTCAGTGGTACGATTGTTTGACGTATTTCTAGTTGAGTGACCTCATTTAATCATGATGTTTTAAGTGACGACTCTGATGTCACAAAGAATTCTAGTTTCGTGGCATCTATTGTGTTGTAATTCAATCCTTTTTGAAGTTCTTCCATTTTTGTAAGTGGCTTTTTTGATAATTTGGCAATGCAATCGTTTGTTTCATCGGCTGAAGGCACTTCTGAGATTTTGAGCAGCTTTTTCCTGAGGACGTTTCTTCGTTGTTATTTGTATCGTTTGCTTGATTTTTAAATTGCAGTTGTCAGTGTTGTGTCGTGAGTATGCTTACTAGTTTTGTCTTTTGATTGTTAATCACTGATTGGTATTTCCGAATCCTATGATGTGCATCTGTGATCATCAATCGTACCATTTGTTTTCCATTTTGTTCGGCTATTTCCTATCTCACTGGACAGTTAGTCGGCGGTCTATATTTGACACTCTTCGGCAGAACATGCTGACGTAGGCGCTTAAAGAGAAAGAATAGTTGTTCTCTTGTGGAAGCTTGTCTTTTGGAGAAGCACTCCAATTTTTGAACAACGTGAAGCATGCTACGCTCGTATAATTTTGAAATAGTGGAGAATATTTGTAGCTCAGGTGAATGGCAGAAAAGTAACAATCAAACAATTTTACGGGATATATATATATATATATATATATATATATATATATATATATAAGCAGTAGTGGACTATCATAAGGTAGATAAGTATTCAGGCACGACTTATCGTCCTTAATCTCATAAAGGTAATTGCAAGAGTGTGGAAGGAGAAAAATGCTCTGCAGTTTAAAAAAAACAATGATCATAAACAAGAAAAGTGAGCAGTAAGCTTGCTGTCAACTTGCAATAAAGTTGGTCTGTTAAAAGCAAATCGACGAGTAAGATTACCATAAGACAAATGAGCAGAAGTATCTAGACAAAATCAGAAGATTATACACATTGCTATACGAAAGATTGAGAAGTTTACGTCAATTGAATAGTTTGGTTCAATAGTCAACATACTAAAAATTCCAGTAAGACGTGTGGTACCAGAGTGAATGATCAACTATTTTGATGGTGTTATGTTCTCTTAGCTTGATGGTTAAATCGTGAAACTTCATTGTCATTCTAGGCAACGTTATCATCACAAACGTCTGTGGGGTTTTCGTCACAAGCAACTGAGTAGTTTGTCCTGATGTCCTTGTACGTGATTGGTTGTTTCTGCGGAAGTCTTGTCATTGTTACCACAATTATTTCGACTGGTTGTCCGGCTGAGGTAAACTTTGACCTTGTTGTTTCCTATTGATATTGAATTAATCTACCAATCAACAGGCAATAACAAGGTCAAAGTTCACGTCAGCAAGACAACCAATCAGAACAAATATGGAGACAATGACAAGACTTTCGTAGAAACTAGTCACACACAAGGCCATCTGGACCAACTACTAAGCCATTTTTGGCGAAAACCGTATAGATCCCTTTTTTCTTAGGTTTGTGCTGATGATATTGTCTAGAGTGACAAAGCCTCACGAATAAACCATTCAGCTAAGAGAACACAACACCATCAAAATCCACCCCCTGAGCACCAAATATTCTCCATCGTCGGAATAATAAACTATGTTAACCCATTAGTATAATTGCTTTTATATCATACCGTCATTTCTTAGACCGAACTGATCGGTCTCTATTGGCATAAGGGGTCCTGTGCGAATGCCTCGATATTGCCTGCGTTCTAATCATAGTGTAGTGGATAACGCCCAGGTGTTTGAAGCGATCGCTCACGAGTCCGAATTCCAGTGGGAACAACACTCACTGGGAAGCAGGTACATCCAGCTGACGAGTCCCAAATAGGACGAAATGCGCATCTTGAATTCCACTGCTACCCACGATCCATCATTAATATGTTATTCCATAACATGTGCAGTTGACTAAAGAAAAAATTTGCCATAATACGGGCTACCCGTATATTAAGTGATGACATTAATTTTTCCAAGAAAACATGCGAAACTCAGAAAATCAAATCCTGTGAACTGCAATAAAGTCTATATGATATCCAAATAGAAAAAGAAACATCTATAAGCTCCAATGTAACAAGTACAACTCGTAACCGATAGGGCCATGATGGTAGCTCCACATATAATCCACTCCATGAGAAAACCTTACTCTTAAATATGTTACATCTCTGTTTGATATAAATTGCAAAGATGATAAGATGATAAGAAAAATACCTACCGAGACTATAGGAAGCATATATAATAAGTACTGGTGATCTTGTGTAAGGCGCCAGTCTCGCCAAACTTGTAATATAAATTTTGAGTTTAAGTCTTTCCATGCATCAGTGGGAAACATAATGTAAGCATTAGGACATCGCCAAGGTTCATCTTCTGGATCACCATAGTCATGGACAACAGCACATTCAGAACTTCTGACTAAATTTTGACCTCGATGAATATAGTAGACCGTAGTTGAATCTTCCGCTATCGCCAAATCAGCACAATCATAATTTATAGCTAACTGTAGCTTAGGCCATAGTTTTGATAAGAGCCCATGATGCATCATGATGCACGTCATATGTATTGTACATTCGATATTCATGACCTAACAGAAATGAAAAAATAGCAAGTTAAAACAGAAAAAATAAGACATAAAAGACAAAATAAGAGAGTGAAAGAAAAAGCGAAAATTTAGAGTAATTGTCATAAATAAGATGACCCCCGAATAAAATTTCTTATTTATAAGGAGGTGGTGATTGAAGGCATAAACAGAACTTCGGTCACGACAGGATTCACACCTATGACCTTCGGATTACCAGTGTGGCACTTTACTTAACAAGCTGGTACCAGACCTAACTGTTGACCAAGTCTTAATTTTACTACAACTAGTATGGGATTACCCGACTAATTTGAATCTTGCTGCAACAAAGGTAGTCAATTAGCCTCATCACGGTGAAAATTAGCTGTATCATTCCGTTACAGTGAAAAATGAGTTCTCAAGTAGAAAATGAAGTCAATTTAACTAAGTGAATTTTACAACTCCGTTTACAGCCAACTAAAGGTTTCAAGTATTTGTATAAACAATTATTAAAGTGGCGTCAAACAACAGTAAAAATAGTTTAGGGCATTGTAAAGCATATGTGCGACTAACATTTTGTTATTTGTAGCAGTTTTGGGTCATTGCTAATGTTGTTTGTTTTATATTTATCGAATGAAAGATATCAGGTAGAGAAATAGAAAGAACTGGAGAGGCGTTTCAGTTTTAGTTGCTGACTGCTTAGCAATGTACATACACAACACGACTAGTGAAAGGCGAGACCTGGAATGTTCGTAAGCAGTACTTTATTAATCAACCACTTGGTTTCAATACAATGATCAACATCCTCTGACTTCAATCACTTAGCCCTATAGTGCACTATCGTGTAGTATCGTTTATGAGAATTCTTTTCCCCTCCAGACTTGATTTACTGTCCATGCTAAGGTTGTCCACTGGAACTTCCAGAAAAGCATCTAAAAGCTAGTTATTAGTCTACATTGAATAATACTTGAGTGGTTTCAAGATACAGATTGATCTTATTATTCATAAGTCAACCGTAGAGTGAATATTAGGCTAAACTGTAATATTTAGGAAACAGAGATAGACAGAATTCTAGCTTCTTTTTAAAAAATACCAGGTTAATAACGCTGTAAAGTCGTTTTTTTCACTAGACTGCGCTAAACGTTTCATACATCGGGATGAATGATTAGTAGTAAGTCATTAACTCATTAATCTTAACTGGAATATCACCAAATTATTAATAACTTTTTATCTTCTTCTTTCCATCTATACAGTAATATTATATTTATTAAGTCGTCCCTTGGGTTCCTAATGGAACATAGGGCTTTAGTGGCACGTTTCCAGTGCACTCTGTTCTCTACAGTCTTTTCAACCTGCCTCCACAACTGCCCAGAAGTTTTCCTTTATTCCTCACATGATCTCCTCCATGTCACCCTCCGGTTCGCCTGTAGATCTTCAAGTGTGTGACATTAGACGTAAGTCATAGGCGAAATCCAAATCTTCTAGGTTCTTTTCCGCGGTCCGGTGTATCCCCTTCTTGTCTATAAAGTAACCTTTACAGTAATTTATTCATCGTATGTACTAAGTAGGTAATTCGCAGAGTCGTTAATGTCTACTCCCCATTTAATCAATTTATACTGATTTTTTCAAAAACAAATTTACAATTAATCTTGATAGATGAAGAAACTGTTTTCACAGACTTCTTCTGAATATGTAAAGAAAGCGAATGATCCTAAGTTTTCACTTCAGCACTATTGAAACGTGAAAATCGAAAAAAAGAGAGATGCAGTCTTTCAGCAACCACGTACACGTATGTGCAGTAGACAGTAAACCATACACATTATCTGAGAGCTAACCACACTAGGTAACCCCACCTAGGTAACTAGTTCACTAGTTACTAGCCGATCCTAAGCCCGAACAAAGGAAAAGTTGGGCTTAGGGCTAGCAACCTTACCCTAGAAAACCAATCTGACCGCTAAATAAACAGCAAGATGGATTCAAATCCAAAGGAAAGAAAGTCACAATCATACAATGCTACGCTATGCACCTAAAAATAATGCAGGTCAAGAGAAGAAGGAAGGATTCTACAGACGACTGCAATCAGTAATGGGCAAGACTCCACCCCAATTGGCGATGGCGACATAAAAAATCTAATGGCCGACATGAATGCCAAACTGGGAGCAGACAACACAGGAAGAGAACTAACCATGGGTCAAGAAGTGCTAGGTTAAATGAACGAGAACGGAGAACTGTTTGCAGACGTCTGCTCATTTAATGATTTTGTGATTGGAGGCAGTGTGTACAAACACAACGATATTCACAAAGCGACATGGATATAACCAGACACTAAAAATCAGATCGACTTTATCTCAATCTCTAGACAGTTGAGACGCAGCTTACAGGACACAAGATGAAGAAGGCTAGGAGATATAGGTTCACACCACTTAACATCCAGTGCAACGAACTTAACTTCAAAATCAAGTCGAAGGCCTTCACAGAAGCTGGTGATAGACCTCAGTTCAAGTTCAACACCCAGAACACAAACTGAACGGAAGGACGAAACTACAAAAAAAATCTTCACGTCAGTCAGCTATCCGGGAAAAAAATGGGAGGCATTAAGCAGCATCCCTTAAGAAACCTGTGTGGAAGAGCACCGGAATTCTTTGAAAGCAAAGTAGAAAGAAACCTGCCTAACTGTATTAGGAAAGAAGAGGAAAAGGACAAGACAATTGAATGGATCTTCACAAACAAATGGAAGCTGATAGAGCAGCGAGAAGAAGATGGTGAAGCAGAAGATGAACCAGTGCAGTGAAGTGCAGTGCACGGGTGAACAACGAAAAGAGGAACTGAGTACAACCTATAAAACACTACACTGGACAAAGAAGTGGAGAAGAGTACACGGAAAGACAAAAGACACTTCTACAACACACTTGCAAGTGAAGCAGAACAGACTGCAGGCAAGAGAGATAGAGACGTGACAACATCATATCAAATAACCAGGTTACTATCTGGTAGGGAAGAGATCAACGCAGATGAAACCAATGAGAGATAGTGAAGGAAACCTAGTTACCACCAATGAGGAGAAACAAAGGAGACGATGGTCTGACCACTTCAAAAAAACTCTTGAATCGACCACCAACACCTCCAACTTCCCCAGAAATACAACCAGCAGCCAGTGAATACAGGCCCACCGTCAAAAGCCATAGTCCTGGACACCATAAAGCTGCTGAAATCTGGGAAAGCATCAGGATCAGATGGAATTCCTCCGGAAGCACTGAAAACAGACACTGAGACATCAGCAGCGGACATGATCACACCACACAACTATTGCAGAAGGTTTGCAAGGAAGAAAGGAAGGAAAGGTACCTGCCCACTGATTGGAAGAAGCACTACCTTGTTAAACTCCCAAAGAAGAGTGGGCAACCTGAGTCTTCACAAGAACTGGCACGGAATCATGCTCCTGTCCACCCAAAGCAAGCAAAGTTTTAACCCGCATCATCCTGGAGAAATTGAGAAATGCCCTGAATTCAAAACTACGACCGCAACAGGCTGGCTGGTTGGCTGGCTAGCTTCAGGAAGAGCAAATCATATGCCGATCAAATTGCAAGGCTACGCTACGCATCATCATAGAACAGAGCGTAGAATGGCAGTCAACTCTATACCTCAACTTGATTGATCGACTTCGAAAGCGTCGACCGAGAAGTAATGTGGCAGGCAGCTGCTTCAACACTACAGCTTTAGTGCCACAAACCTTTATCAACCTCATTCAACAGCAGCTATGTGCTGTCCTATATGATGAGGCTATGTGCCAAGTGATTCACAATGGAAAGCTCAGTGATGCCTTTGAAGTGAAGAAGACAGGGGACAGGAGTAAGACAAGGTTGCCGCCTACTGTCACCGATGATCTTCCTGATTGTGATGGACTGGACTGGAACATGCAACAGACAACTGTGAGGAGTGAGAAGAGGGGGATACGCTGTTTGACCGATGAAAAGACCCTAGAGGAATATTTGGACTTCGCTGATGAGGATTTATGTCTAATGTTGCACAAGTTCGAAGATCTTGTAGACGAAAACCAACAAGTTGACAGAAGAGACAGGGTAACGAAAATCGGACTTCAGGTGAACGTAGTGAAAACAGAGGTGATGAAGATACCCAACCAACAACAACAACAAGCACCAATCACCATCAACGGGAGAAACCTAAAGGAAGTTGTCTCATTCACCTACCTACCTACCTACCTAGACAGCATCGTTTCAACCACAGGTGGCACAGATGACGACTTCACAGCCAGGATCGGAAAAGCAAGACAGACCTTCGTTTATCTGAAAACAGTGTGGAGATCTACTGCACTGCACTCAGCATAAAGCGTGAACAACATCCAGATTTTCAACACTAATTCAGTCAAATCAGTGCTTCTATGTGATACTTGAGAGACTTGGCACGTTACGAAAAGCATTTCCAACAAACTACAGACATTCATCAACAGCTGCTGCCTACGCTCACTCAATACTGAAGATCAGATGACCGGAGAGAATAAAAATAAGAAACTCTGGATGGCTGGCAACGAACCAACCAAGAAGCTATCACTCAACAAATACGCGGTAGAAGGAAGTGGGGATGGATTGGGCATGAGCTGAGAGAACCATTCGGAGACATCACGTGCCAGGCCAGGCCCTCGAGTGGAATCCAAAGAGGGAACGATGAGTTGGGCGTCGGAGGGTGACACGGAGGGGATCATGTGAGGAACAAAGGAAAGCTTGTGGGCAGTTGTGGAGGCAGGTTGAAAATACTGTAGAGAACACAGTGCAATGGACACGTGGCACTGACGCCCTTTGTTCAACTAGGAACCCAAGGAACAGATAATAAATAGTAATAATCACACTTCCTGGCTATCCTAACCGCAGTAATTGGGGACAGGTTCAAACTCATAACTCACTGATTGAAACTCAAACGCCATATCCCTGGATATTCCAGTGTGAATGAATTCAATGCCCATGAAGACCTATTCTACTAACATCTTTCTCCATAGCTCCGAAAATGTTCTCTTATTACTACTCACCACTAAAGTTTAGTTCCATTGGTCAAAATTTGTGAAAAACTGCAACTTGGATTGACACAATAAGAATAGAATTTACATAAGTATTTGAGGAATGAGATTTACGCTTTACAAGGTATCAATTGCTTCCTTACGATGTAATCTATCGCAGTTTATTTGTGAACTACAAATGAAGAAGCTCGGACCAGACTTCTTTGTGCAGAATTGGAATTATTTTATTTCAAACAAGCTTTGACTTAAACAAATACAAACTATATCCAATGATATCAAAATAGTTTGTTGACGGTGATTACACTCGAGGCTGGAGTTGAAAAAGGAAATATTTTGATCAAAGATTCAACATAGAATCCCAATCTGAAGTTAAAAAGTACATATTGGGGCATACGTACCGCCTTTTTGTATCTAGAGGCTGGATCTATGTGTGCAGGTTGCCAATTAGTATATCAACATCTGTTGAGTGAAACTTATGCCTAATAAGATCAGTACTTGAAGCAACAAACGTTATTAAAGCAGGATTTATTGAATTTTATAAATTTCACTAGATCTCATCAGCTTTTTTACTCTAGGCACACGATTTTACATACTGTTATACCATGCAGGAATACATACACGCATCATACAGGCTAAGACATTGAATGAGGCATGTTGACAAAGAATGAATAATTTAACTACGTCAAATAGAACTATGACTAGATTGAAAGGGGTAACAAATTGATAATGAAGATGATGGATTATGTCATTTTGAACGGAACAACTAGTAGTGAATTCGGTAGCTTGATAAAAGTGCACAACTAAAGAACCATAGCTGCTAGGTAAACAAAAATATTGATTATAATAATGATAATAAGAGTGAGTGACAATAGTGATAAGATTAACTTAGAAGTAGTATTCATCACGAATTGACACCAGTTAGGGAACCATTGAAAACCTGGAAGCACTGAACAGCTGTTTCCTCCTAACATCCAACTCCTCAACAACACGCACCCACGACCCAGCTACGGATCGAACCCACGACCTTCAGCTTTCACGGAGAACACTTTAACCATCCAGCCACTGCCTTTCACCCCAATACTTCAGTCTCCAACTTCTGTCAATTCACAATATAGCGCGACTATCACTTAAGGTCCTCAAGTGGCATTCGCTTCCCTTTCGACTGGTTGATCCCACAGGTCATGGCTTCTCATTATAACTTCGTGATATCTATTTTGAAGCATGTCAGCAATGAGCACTATACAGTAATCTATTTTTGAGATGAATGGGGACTTTAATTTAGAGGTAGTATTCATCACGTGCTGACATCAGCTGAAGAACCATTGAAAACCTGTGAACACTGGACAGTCGTTTTTTTCCTAGTATCCGACTCCTCAGCAGCACGCACCAACGACCAAACTACGGGTCGAACTCAGGACTTTTAGGTTTTACAGCGAACGTGTTAACCATCCAGTGCTCTCAGGTCTTAAATGGTTTCCCAAGTGGTGTCAGTTCGTGATGAATACTACCTCTGAAAAATCCCCATTCATCTCAAAATACATAGGACTAACTATCATTTTGACTGTCTGAGATAGTCGTAATTTGGCAGATTAGTATTGTTACTCGGTGATGATTGAAGGTGAAATGAAAATTTGGACAGCAGCCGAATGAGAAGTACTGACTGCGAAGCCAGTGGGAGTGCGATGAAGCGATAGTAACACACCAGGAATTCACAAGGTAGTCGGTCAAAACTCTTGATGATTGAAGTGAAATAAAAACTTGGTTAGCTGTCAGGTGTAGCAGCTCAATTGGTAGAGTATCGGACAAAAACCTGCTAGTCACTGGTTCGAATCCACCTGCAGTTCAAATTCTTACTTCATCTTCAGTTATGACCCAACATCGATAAGATTAACAATGAAAATATGAATACGGAAAAGACAAAAAACTACATCATTTTGAACACGATGAATGAACATCAATTAAGAAGTTGGTAACAGTGCAAAACTACCGAAGGCTAGTGTTAGTTGGTCGATAGCAATAATAATAATGATAATGGCGACGGAGATAAGTCATTTGACTATTAAGCGAAGAAGCTGAAGAGAAAATGACAGTGTGACAGAATAAAGATAATGACGAGATAAATATGCTAAGTGGTGGGAGAAATAAAATAGAAAAACAAAGCAATACAAATAAATAACTTTAAAATTCCTTGACACCTCCATCACGGTAGATTCAGGATGGCTGCCATCTCTTTCAGTACACATGGGATCGGTTTACAAACTCTAATTGCACATGCTTCCACAATCCCAAGCATTTTCTTACTCCGTTGTCTTATGACAACTGGAAAAGACTTAGCAGCGTCAATATCATGTCGGTAATCTATTAGATGTATCGTAACGGGACTCCGTGGGATTTTTGATTCAGCTTGCCTAAAGAGTTACATTTAGGTAAATGCTCAATCATGCGAGTAAACAGATGCCTTTACGTAAGACCTAGGTGTTTGCTTCCACAAGTACATTCAAATTGGTATATGCAGTTTGATGTGTCGAGAACTGAAGTCATATCTTATCCTGATTGTTGCATCGCCCATCTGGTGGTGCTCAGAAGTATTAGCTCAGCTGCGTAGTAAGTTCTTTTAATGACCTTGTCTAGCCTTCGTTTAACTACTTCTAAGAATCGTCTCTGTTGCTTGTTTTATATTATTATTATTATTATTATTATTATTATTATTATTACCATTATTTAGTATAGAAGTCACTCAACAATACAGGAATAAACTAACTTAGTTATATAAGAGAATAACAGTGAACCTGAGTAATTCATACAACATATTTCTTACCTTCAAGATATCCGAATAAGCCTATTTCACGTCCTAACCTAGCACGATGATCCCAAGAATCAACTTTTACCTCTTCCGTCACTGAAGTTGGTGTTTTAATTTTGCGACCAGTTAACTCATATGGATCTAAATCTAAACCACTTTTATAACCTCGTACAAAATCAAGTGGTATACAGTTCACCGAATCTGACTGGAAACAATCAACTTGTATAGGATCAAGCCAAACACTGCCACCATCACAGAGATAGTATAACTCATTAAATAAAGCGGATTTATACCAATCTGGAAGTGATCTGTAAATTGAATGAGATAAAATTTAAACTTTACTTGTGAGGAAACAGGTGAAGTCCATAGAAAACTAAAATTAAGCCAATCGTAATGTACGGCAGGTAAGGTTGTAATACAAGCCATTAGGAGATTTTTCGTATGAAAACAGCTTTTCAAAAATCAACTGTTATATACCACTAATTCTGCCTAACTTTTGTCTGATATTGACGAAAACGTGCAAGAATGACTTTATTATTGCTGTTTTCACACCCTCTTCTCACCGTTACTAGCTTTTGTTTTTCGAACTGCTTTCGAAAGCTGAGCTCTCATTGGTTGTTAGCTCTTTTAACTTATCAGTGAATGTAGTGTTTGTCAGGGCCGTTTAGAATGTATATATTCAGTACCACTTTCATCTGTTTTGGCTATTGTTGAAACAGAAAAAGCTTTCTATCAACGGTTCGTCTTCTCTTGTCTTCGCGTATCGGTGATATTCTTGTGGTTGTAGTTGATGTTCTGATTAGCGATTGGAGTAGATTCTTTCGCACGTTAGGTTCGTATTGCTCGTATACTGTTAAGTTGCATTACCAGTCATAACACCAACCTTCAGCTTTTTCAGTAATTGACTTCCAGTCAGTAGATCACAGGTTAAAACGCTTCTACGTCTACTGCGTACACATAAGGGTCGTTTCAAATGGTGCACGGCTATCGCATCCATAAGCCTCTGTATGCGCCCTTGACTATTTCAATTTAGAACTATAAAGCTATTTGAGCATTAATTCTGTGACTTGTCTGCATAATACGCTTAGATAGAAATAAAGAAGTCTGTTTTCCACCGGTGCTTATCTAACTTTCAGACTTCAAATAAACAATTATTAGAAACTCTCAGGACTAGTAGCATATCTCGGTCTAGTCAACGCTAGCTTTCTTTAAGTCGTAGACAACTGAAGGTTGGCTGAATATCTGTGGTCATCACAAAAATACACTCTTGCTCAGCTGTCAATCATCCAAAGATGTTTCACAGTAACAAAAGAAAGCTACAAAAGTCAAATATGAACATCACTATTCAGTCGACTAGACAAATATCATATGTGAAACCTATTATGAACAAGGGAAAAAATCTCTGAACACATCCTAAAGCAAGTAGATAGACAAGTTAAGAGCAAACCGAAAGTTTTAATAAAAACCTACTTATTTTTGAGAATAGGATTTTGCCATTCTTCAATTTTTTGAACCCACTGTCTCCAGTTATCTATTGCATTGTTCAATAATAACTTAGCACCAGATATTCCATCAATAGGAAACCATCGGACATATCGACTGTAAAATAAGCAATACTAATAAAGTAGCAATATCAGTAATTGATATAGTATTTAGAATGGCAGTTAGAAAATATTGTGGATCTGTGATTTCGTGTTTTAGGTTTCTGACTACTAACCATTAGGCTTCAAGTATAAATTTCGTTTCATCTTCTACGACCTAGGTAGTCAAACAGCACCCCATACAGCTTTAACATACAAGCCTGTACGAGGGTGCAGAGTTTGATTTTTATGCATTCTGAAATATCAGTGCTACGTAAGCTATGTAACTCAGCTTTGATAATTTCGATTGAATAAGTGTAGATAGATAAGTGCAGGTACATCCAACTGACGAGTCCCGAACAGGACGAAACGCGCGTCCTAGATTTCACTGCTAGACACTATCCATCATAAAGATAAAACTAAAACACGCGTAATATCGAGACATCCGCTCTGGAGCCCGTATGACAATAGAGACCGATCAGTTTGGTCCAATCAACGACAGCAAAATACAAGCAACAACATAAAACATTTACGCTGTTTGTTTTATTATTTGGTAAATATGTGTGTGAATATTATTCTGTTTAGCGGAAAAAGAATAGTATTTAATGAGATTATTTAATTTCACGAATATCCTTCAGCTAGATATAGTCTAAAACTACAATGCTTAATTAGCATATGCGATAATTGAAGATTAGCTAACAGAAGTTGGAAATATGGAGCATTGGATTCTGACCCAGTGGCTCAATGATAGCGCGCTGGCCGTGGAACCTGAAGGTCGCGGGTTCGATCCCTGCTGGTGGGGTCGTGGGTGCGCACTGCTGAGGAGTCCCATACTAGAACGAAACAGCTGTCCACTGCTCCCAGGTTTCCTTTGTTCCTCCAACTGATGTCAGTCTACAATGAATAACAACTTGAAGATTAGGGAGCCAATAATTTTAAGTTGTACATTGAAATAATAACAGATCTACATAATATATAAGATAATTGCACAGAGGGGTAAGAAATGCAAAGAAGAAACAATTAATACTAGTCAATAGACTAGATAGAATGTGAAGGAGTTACATCTATAAGATTAAGGACAATTCATTTAGTTGGAAAAGGTAAGTAAGAAAAATAAATAATTTTGTATTTTAAGGTGAATGGTGATTTTAATTTTGGGGTAGTACTCATCACGGACTGACACCAGTTAGGGAACCATTGAAAACCTGGGAGCACTGAACAGCTGTTTCCTCCTAACATCCAACTCCTCAGCAGCACGCACCCACGACCCAGCTACGGATCGAACTCACGACCTTCAGCTTTCACGGAGAACACTTTAACCATCCAGCCACTGCCTTGCACCTCAATATTTCAGTCTCCAACTTCTGTCAATTCACGATATAGCGCGACTATCACTTAAGGTCCTCAGGTGGCATTCGCTTCCCTTTCGACTGGTTGACCCACAGGTCACGGTTTCGGGATATCCATATTGTAGAATGTTACTAATGAACACAATTCATTGCTGAATGGTTAACGCGTTCGCCATGAAACCTGAAGGTCCTGTGTTCGATCCATAGCCGGGTCGTGGGTGGTTCTTCAGCTGATACCAGTCCGGACGGATACTACTTCAAAATAATTATGTGTTAGTTGGATGTAGTCAGTCGAAAGGAAGACATGCCCGACCTAGGCTTCATGTTTTTTGGGACTCGTGAGCAAGGATTATCTGTAGCTTCGACGGAATTGATAACTCATCCACGGTTCGAACCAACATCATCCAGTGCAACAGTCAGAAACGTTACCACTGAGCCATTTGGGTCATGAATGACCTCCTGTAAGTGTACATTAGGTACATTGATTGGTCACTGGACGGCAACTAAATGCTAAAAAGCACGAAACCCAGGGCTACGGCTTCCTGCTCATTGCCTCCATGAAACTAACATCTATCTCAGTGCATCACAACGGTAAGTCTCCCTACCTGAGGGCCACATTACAAAGTGATCGATAGGATTCGTCTGCATCAAAAACTGTGATTAAGATGGAACAAAATTAAATTAATGATGGAAACGAGAGACGTCACGTATCAGATTGAAAGCATTTAGGGTCAATCGCTTCCGCGAAGTGTAGTAATCCAGGCATTTTCTGTGCGTAAATTATCTTACAACTTGATGTCCTATCCTTATGACATATCGGCCGACTGCACTGGCCATAATCCTGCTTTAATTCTCACAAAAATTCTGTTGAATATGCTTAGCGAATCAAATGAATGCCCTCCTCTCGGTACTTTCATTGTACTTGAGGTAGCAAGTGCATGGAAATTCATTAGTGCAACTGAAAGTGGCACGAAAAGGATATTTGTTAGATTTGAACTGGAAAGCTTCTTTTTAGTGCTCCTTCGAGTCTTTCATCTATTCTTAAGGATATTGTATCTCTCTTGAATGTAAGATGAATAAAAACCTTATTCTTCTCAACATTTGGGTGCTCATTAGTTTTCTAGACGTTTAAGCAGGGTAATGGACAGAACCTCTAAAATTTAGTACATTGGAAGGCATGTAGACTTCGTCAAATTACTTGAGTTTGAAAGGTTGGAATCTCCAATTTAGGATTCTCCTATTATTGATTTTACTTATGTAGATATGAAAAAGTTGACGCTAAAACAGCAAGCGAATTCTAAATCACAAATTTACTAATTATAGTGCACGATTAATGTTATGACCGGTAGTAAGACTTAACAGTCTACGAGCGATATGAGCCTAGCAAACTTAAAACGATACGAACCTAATATGCAAACGAATATAGTAATGAAACCTTATTACTCATCCTTTTCAATGAAAAAACTGTTTGAAGCTACAGAAGGATATATTACTTTGAATTTAACAGATGTTATCATCTAAGAGTTTTACTTCGTATGATCACAAACACCTCTTCTTCTCTCTGGTGAGACATACATTTTAAAGAACCAATGGATTTACATACCGAGTATAAACAACATCACCTGTTCGAAATCTAACTATTGGAGAATGCCAGGTGATAGCAAATTCAAATTCACTTTGACTGGGATCAAGATTATCATTCGAATTGAACATAGAAACAGTAGTTGTTGCGCTTACAGCAATCGCAAGTTTGGGTGACTTCTTGGTTTCAGCACCAAATGATACAGTATACCCAGCTAAATTAGGTTTTAAAAAAATACAATAAACTAGAGTTAGCTAAACGATAACAAGTGGAATTTCAAAAATCGTCAATAAGAGAAGAAGAAAGCATATTCTTTTATATGGTAGCCAATAAGTAATTACTCAAAGAGTGAGTAAACACATTACCCTAAAATTTGATGTATACATTCTTCATACTACTTAAAATATCCATCAGGATATTAGAAAAAATGAGAAGTTCGGCGATTTCATTCTCCATTACTGTACAAAATAGTGCATTTCTGCCTTCTTTGTGTACTCCAGAAACTCTTGCCGTACGCATAGACAAACTTGTTCAATCTTTGTTACTATCTTAAACTTATTAAATTGTTAACAATACATCGACCTCTATCTTTCTCTCATTATTCACAATTTTGTTGTATTTTATGATATATATCTTGAGAATTATTTTTACATATTACGGAACTTTAAATTCTATCCGGCTAATTATGTTGATTTCTATGCTGTTTTGTGATTAATTTTCACCTTACACCAAACTTGATCTTTGTTATTATGTTTAATTAAATAACTATTGTAACTATCCATTATGTTTAAATAAAGCTGTATAAATTGCGATTACACTCCTAGTTATGGCGACTGAAATCGCCGAAAAAGATATCTTCACTGAACTTCTAATTTTTGCCAATAGATACATATATTTAAAAAAAAAGTGATCAGTTTAAACAGTAAAAATGGTGTTAAATAGTCTTTATCATTGGGCAAAATAAATTATATTCATTGTTCAACTAGTCAAAGAAACCAATCAAAGATAGGAAGTACAAAATTAAGAATCTTACGCTATATGCACTTTACTATTTTTATGGAAAAATAGCTACTAAGCTTTTATTAGTGCAAATTACCCATATGAAATGATGATATCCACATACTTGTAATTCGCGTACTTACCACCAGGAAATAGAAATTGTTGATTTTTCTTAAATTTCAATAGTTTTTTTCAAACTCAAGACATTTTACTTAAATTCTAAAATAGGTATCATGGTCACGCATCTTACTGAAATTATTTACAGTGTTTGATCAAGACATTTTTCACCTCATGTCATTTGTATTATCACTGAGATATCCGAATGTGAAGTTTACAATGAAACAGTAGGCCTAGTTTTAATATTTAGCTGTGATACATAATCACTAGCAATGCAGGGTATCAGGAGGGTCTGGGAATTTAGCCACCATTAGATGGAGTCTTAGATAAGATAAATTGGATGAGGAAGCTACAAACCACCCATTCAGTTGGCTAGGAAATTATGTTGAGCATGGTGGACCATGATGTCTGTAACTGTTTGTTTCAGGTGGATAAAAAAAGCTAGTCTTTCATCAGGAAACAATACTTAGACTCTACACGATAAAGGTCAGAATCAATATCAACAATGCAGATATATTCAAGCCTTTATCATTATCATAATCGCTATATTACATCCAGTTATTCGTCTTAACTTCTTATCTCTATTTTCATAGAGTGGTGGTATTTTGGTTCTACAATTTCGACTTCTTTGTCCCTGTCTGGTGCTTTATTGTGATCATATGACATGTGGACCAACAAATGGACATGACCGGATATACCAATGAGCTACATTTTTGGCGAATATATATATATATATATATATATATATATATATATATATATATCGTGAAGTAGGAGATATGGACCATTCGATTTCGATCCAGTGGATCAATGGTAACACCCTGGCTGTGGAACCTGAAGGCCCTGGGTTCGATTCCTGACAGAAGTACCATACGAAAACCAAAATAGCTGTCCAGTGCTCCCGGGTTTCCAATGTTTCTCTAACTGATGTTAGTTCATCATGAATACCAGCTTGAAATGAAGCAATCCCTACAAACGTCCAAATTGAAAATATTTTTTGACAGGTAATCACAAAGGAAATTCCTTTTATCCTATTTCGGTCTTTAAATTTCACTTTAGTGGCAAAACATAATTAAATTAGGCTAGGAATTCTCAGACTTTGCCTCACAGCTTATCAAAAAACCAAAACAACAACTGGAAATCAAAAGATGAATAAAGGGATACGTTTTTTGATTTTATTCTTACCAAGACATTGTTTTTATCTTTACTATTTAGAGTTGAATATTGAACATTACTATGTTTCAGTTACATGCTAGACTAAACCATTTCATAAGAATAGCAACTACACATAAAGCGCTGCATAAGCTCACTTTGGATTCCAGTCGTAACCAGTAATCATTCCATTTTCGTTTCCTTTTTTTACCAATTTTATACCATTATGCTTTATACACTGTATTCATGTTAATTAATGAAGGATTTGTAAAACAGTTAGTATATTTAAACAGTATAGTTAGGAAACGAAGATTATCAGAGATAAGTGATGCATCTTAAACTGTCTGATCACATATGAACCTGTCGAATTCTTTATAAGAAAATTCACGAAAAAGATCAATTGTCATCAATAGGAAACTTAAGAATAGGAAGGAGACAATAAAAACGAAAAAAATCCTAGCAACTGCTGAAATAACCAATCAGCTTTCAGTATTTCGGTTGGGAAAGTAATTTCGCTACTTAATAGAGAACCGCAACTGGTTATTACAGCAGCTGCGAAGGTGACCCTTGAAGTCACTTAGATAACATTACAGCATGTACTAAGTTACATGCTCAACCATCTTCTATGCCATGCATAAAGAGGAGTAATCATGATATGCTGTTGAGGAGGGTTGAACTTCTACCTATGTGACTTCAAAACCAATGACTTCAATTGGTCTCAGAAGTACAGGTGACAAATATGTTTATCTTCATCTATTGCCAAACTTATACTGAGAATCAGTCATAGGGTAGACATGAAAACAGTCTTAAAAGTAGTCACGATCGAGTGCTTGAGTTTATCGAAGTTCTAGCCATCCGTGAATCTAAACTCCCTATATAAAAAATCAAAAGCAATTTGTACTCACTTTGAGCCTGCCCTGATAGTATTGATTTTAATATTGCTACTAAGATTGATGTAATTTAGATATTGCTTTTGATCTCCCCTTCTTATTCGTATGATTTTTATTGACGACTTAATTCGACAAATGTGTGATCAGATTGTTTCAAAGGCATAACTCTAATACATCGCAGTTTTCAGACAATCTTCATCTTCTCACTACACTGGAAATGCATCATGGGGACTAATAGATTTAGAGTTATATCATAATTATTTACATTAGCAGTGGAGAGTAGCCTAGTTCACAAAGGTACACGGGTTACCTAGCTTGATTATTATTTCATGCTTTCATTTACATTTAGCTACTTATTAACAAACAGATTACTAAGCAGTCTACAATGCCACGTTGATGGTTTGCAGTATGGACTTTTTTCCGTGTAATATACAATTACTGGGTTATAAAACCTATAGGAACTAAGTTATGCATTTGGAGAAAATCGTTAGTATTATAAGCATTCAATTCTGGAAGAATTTCATTGCTAAGTCTGACTTAATCATTATATAAATTTTAATATAATCCCGATGTGTTTAGAAAATTGAAACAAGGTTTTTCTGAATATTTCGGTGTGTATACCACAGCCTCTTCTATAACTGTTATTTTCAGAATTAAAATGCATGAGTAACAATATTTTATAAAAACCAATACAGTAGACAGTAGGTTCTAATTTTTGATAACTAATGTAAACACAGTCAGAGGTATGTTTAGAAAATTCTTTAATAGTTGAAGTTTTTCTATATCCATTATGACATAGAAATACGAATTCTTCAGCAGAAGTGGTAATTCTCATCCTACCCAACGGTATATGACGGGCATATTTTATGTGTTAGCTGCTGAAGTCGGCGGCCGTCACTTCAGTATGCCTCTAAATGTATGAAATTAGATGGTAATCTGAGCACATTCGAAAGTGCCACTTAAAATATCTTTCTTATTGATTTCACAGTAAAGTTACCAGCTAAGACCATCGCATCTGAACCTTTCGTATTTTTTTTAGGAGGCTAGATATTTTTCAGTAACATTCATCTTACACTTCACTCGAACTGCAGTCAGCTGGTGCCTAAGAAATGATCATGAAAATAGAACAGTGTACGTCACCTCTACCTTGTCAGTTCTTGCTATACCATTCAGCTACATGGCGCATAGATGAATTTCAGTTGAAAAAAAAACGGACTTAGCCACTTTGTGCACGTTTGTGCATCAGGTAATGAACCACACCTGGATGCTCAAACCTAGGTAGGTGATTCAAGGTTCGGACCCGTGACCCAATGGTTGACAGTCATCTTAACTAACCAACTGAGTCAAAGCTCTATGACTTTCAGTAAGCATATTACTTTAGAACTTAATACATGACAAGTGAATTAGTGGATTGTTTATATACTTAAAAAGTTCTCATTAAACATTCAAGAAAAGCGTTACTATAGTACTATTAGTTATTTTTATGCATACGATAATGAGTAATATTGTACTCTTAAAAATGTCAGTTCTGATGAATTTAGAGCTGAATGGTATGAGTTTGCAAAACCACCTGAGAGTTTACAATATTTGCTCTACTTGTATTAACTTGAATTCAAGAATTGTTGTGAATATCAAGTATGACTACCATAATTAACATAATTCTATTTCCAAAATAACTAAGTTAACTGTTGGGATGCCCCAGTTTTGTATAAAACATTGTTATTCATCTGAACATTTTGACGCGTCATTCCCACACCAATTGCGGACAAGATCATTTCATATGTATACTTATTCACGTGTTTTGGATTGATTGTTATTATTTTAAAACGCTGGATGATGAACTTGCTTTAGTAATAAACTCTACTATTTGCTAGCTTCGAGCTTCTCTTTATTCGTCCGGGAGTTACAGTTAATGGCTCTTGCGTACTTAGTTAGCTGTCAGCTAAGCATGCGTATGATATCGTTCGGTATATATAACCATTGGCGTTCGAAAGCATAAAATTAACAAATACCTATTTCGTAACTTTATGACACCGATTGCCTCGTCACACAATGTTGGCTGAGGTGGGTTCAGGTTGGAAAAAGGCCCGAGGTGGCCAGACTAAAACATGGCACCAATGTATGAAGTCTCTGACTGTTGGTTTAAGCCATGTAGGACGATGCAGACTAGGTGGTTGGGGTCCACGGGACAAGAGGAACCAGTGGTTGGAGACCCTAGGTGATATGGCTCAGAACCGAAGTCAGTGGCGCAGATGTATACACACATTATCCTCATCTTAACAACGCTATACCGAATCTCACTATTTTGTCACTCCTCTTTCCTTTCTTCTCGTACTTTATATTTCTTTCGACTGCATTCACTTATCTTCATCCTTCACCTCACTACCTTTTTACTTGATGTGCTGATATGAGGTGTGGCAACTCGGACCGTTACGCAGTAATGCCTGGTCCTATGTTGATAATGATGATGATGATGATGATGACACTTAGGTATCAGATAGATTATATTTCCAATTTTAAGTATACACTTTCATATAGATAATTTGTTTGAATGTAGTCTAAACTGTTAGAAAACTGTAAAGTTATGTAAAGTGTATGTACAAGACTAGATGATTAGTAAATTGCTCAACTAAAATGAATCGACTGCTCTTTATTCAAGATAGACTTAGAGAAAGGAAATCAATATAGAACCTTGCAAAAAAATACATCGGTTCAAGTTGCTACATTTCACAGTAGTATACAAAGAAAAAGATGATAGAAGAAGAGTGATATCAAAGTAGACAAAGTTGTATGACAGAATGAACAATGTGAAGACAAAGGTTAGTGCAAATAAATATTCAAGCTTTAGACGACATCAAAGAGTGAATACATGTGTGCCGTTGTGACCAATTTTCAGCCTTGCCACCAAGAGTCAGTCCTTAACCACTGATTCCTATTGCCTGGGGAACCCAGGGACGCAGTCGATATCTCCCCGTACGTCTCAGACCAATATTCGGGGACTACATGCACTGGTGCCATGTCTTGATCTGGCCACCATGAAACCTCTTCCAACCTAACCCAGTTTCCTCTAGCATAGTATATCAAGGTAGGCAGTGACTCAGTATGCGTAACACTTAACATGAACATGAATAATAGACTGAGCATCGTAGTTATTTTTGTAGCGCAGATTAGATGGCTTACACATAGGGTGTAAAATAGCTTGTATAAACATAGTTCTAGATTTGATCAGATAGCCTGACAAAGTAATAACCACCGACAATGAAAGAGTAATATTAAAGGAATTCTGCACTTTTTAAATGACTTCATACTTGCATGAGAATCAGATGGTATACAACCAGATTGGAGGTCATTCCAGAATTCTGAAGCAGACGGTGCTTTACTGTATGATTGATAAGTTGGCCCATCTGAATAATCCTTCACATTACTTTCTGGATGGTCAATATGTTGTTTTTCTTCGGTGACTGTATTGAGGTGTGGTTCATCGCTTAAACGAAATCCAGGACATCTACTCACTTTCACCTAAAAAATGAATAAAAGAGAAAAATTGTCTCGTAAAGAAAATCATCAGACAAATAGCACATATATAGTTGGTTTTAGTGCATACCAGTAATTTTAAACATGCAAATTAGAAAAAATGAATTTCATCAAATACCCATTTCGGTTTCATGAAAGTACTTCAAAATAACGAAACAGATACATAAGAAGGAAAATTTTTTTTCATTTTCGACGGTTTTATTTATTAGATCTGAACAACTGTATCTGAATTCATTGGAAGCATATAACAGTCAACAGCGACACATGATTACTATCATGTTCAAAAGTAGGACAAAAGGCTTCCAAACTCAGAAGAGAATTACTACTTTGGTCATGGTGAGGCTAATGAATGCACATATTGCTTTTGAACACAAAGATCAGGTTGCGAGTTGCCAACTATTCTGATTGATTATATCAAAAAGTTATCAAACCTATTATCCGAAGAGACAAAGTTTCACAAACCACATAATCAAAGTGACAGATGAACACAGAAAATCCCCAGGTTATATCTCTTACGTAAAGTATACGAGATGATCCTCTTCAACATGACTAATTCTCTATATCATCCAGTTGTAAATAGCTAGTGAATACCCTTGAACCGAAAAGGAAGTATATAGCAAAATATAACCTCAAGGATACTTTTGATTTTATTGAATCGGTGAAGTGTCAACAAACTCAAAAAACAAATGCTTTGTCGAAATGTTACCTTTTTTTTTATGAACATACCCTTCGTTGAGATTGTCTGTCTCATTGTTGATTTTTGTTTTTGATTAGGTTCAAGAACTTAAACAGTGCTATATTTGGCTACTACTTGAAAAAACCTGCTCCTCACACGCATCTTCAACGAACACGTCCAAGTTAAAGAAGAACTCAATGTGCAGAAGAATGGCATCACAATGGGATCTCCGCTTGGTTCACACTCATGGCTAACTGCTTTATGGTCTCCCTTGAAAATGGTGTCCTTAGTTTACTAATAAGCCAACTATAAAAAATGTATGTCGATGACATTCTTGTCATATGGGACGAAGAATTTGATTTAAACAACCTCTTCGACACTTTCGATTCTGCATATTCATGCATAAATTCTCTTTAGAGTCTGAAGCGAATTCCTTGGCATTTTATTAACAAGTTGTTGTGGAGCCATCGTTCATTGGTTTAGGGAGTTGACTATCAACCACTGGATCATGGGTTCGAAACCCGCTCCATCTTGCAAGGTTTGGGTAGCCACGTAGTATTTATTATTAGCCATCACAAAAAATGGTGTGGTTTATTGCCTACTGCAAGAATGTGCACAAGATGACTTAGTACGTTTACTAACTAGAAGACCTGATAATTCTATCTAGAGATCAATGTACAGAAAAACAGCACTGACTGCAGCTTACTTAAATCTTGGGCTACCAAAAACTTTTACTGAATATGTTTCAGCAAATTCTCCTCTTTCCGTTTGTACTAATCTTTTAAATATGTCTTCTAAATGTCTCATGTACTCTCATACATTTTTAAGATGTTTCCTAACTATCATTTCTCAAGCCAAGAACAAAACAAAGAAAAACCGTAACACCAGATGGAAATGGACTTATAAATGCTAAAACAAAACAGCAAATTACTCTTCCTAAGATACTTATATCGAATTACGAACTTTTGTACTGGCTGAGTGAACTATCACCACCAAAATTACACTTGATTTTGTATTTATTACTGAGTGCATACCAGATGGTAATGTGACACCAACTGTCAGTTTCACATAATCACCTTCATTACTGTTATTATTAACACTATTCAGATATAATAATTATTTCTTTTGAAAATATTGTACAGGGAGTGAAATTGTTAAAGTATTACATGCTGAGAACACTATAATGCATCATACACGTTGTTTGGAATAAGGCTATTATTATTATTACTATTATGAACAGTTGATCAACTTCCGAAGAAACTTTCCTCTTATCAACAAACAGAACCTCGTAGGATTTCTTATGTTTAAAGATTCGAATCATCTGCTCTGAAGATACACAAGATAGTAGGATACAATTTCTATGTAACATTCTACTAAAATTCTGTTATTCACCTAGATTCATCGACTGGTACATGAAAGAAAAGTCACAAATACAAAATGTATCTACGGTCTCAGTGAAAAATGTTTATATGGACCTGGAATTCGAAGGTGATATTGAAGCTGAAACCCTCAAAATTGCCTCTCATGATCTTTGAGAAAGATATTTGACGCAGTTAATCTGAAAACAACATTTTCCAGAAGACAGTTAAACCATCAATGAGTTAAGGACAGAATACCGCTTTCTGACCACCTTCATGTGCATCTGTCAGTTTACTTGTTCTTGAGCAGCAAATTACATTGGTCATACACGGCGTCAAGTTAGTTAAAGCACTTCGGAACATTGTCGTGTCTGGTTATCTAGAGAAGAGAGGGAAAACATAACCAATCCTATTCCTGAATACCATGTCATCTCCGGACATCTGGCCTCACCTAGTAGTTCTTTTAAAATAGTTTTCATATTGCCCTCCTAAAATTCCCAAAGCTTTCAACCACGTCATCTATATATAGCTGAATCGCCAGCAATTAACAACCTGATCTTTGTGTTCAAAAACATCACATGTATTTATTAGCCTCATCATCGCTAAAGTGGTAATTCGCTTCTGGATTTGGAAACTTTCGTTTTCTTAAACACTATAGTAATCACGTGTCCCTATGGATTACCAGTTGGCTGTTATTTGGAGCGACCGTAAAGGTTAGCCTAACTACAAATGAAATGAACAATAAGACTTCTTCATTTTTTTAAAATTTGCCTTTCTAGACGAAACAAAGAAACCTAATTGGCTATTTTAGTCGTTGTTATGGTGGCCTTAAAAGTCACTCGTTATTTGTTGCGAATGGTTTTAAATACAGTGGTACAGCTTGAGTAAACGAAATCGTAGGAAAGAAATTTTTCTTCGCTGTTACGTTTTTGTTTTATCACTACCTAATAATGGAACTTTCCGTTAGTATGCCAAAGTGGATCTGTATCGCCCTATGACTAAAGCTAGCCTGTAATAACTGTTCACTTTTTGATACTAGACAGCAGGAGTCAATCAACAGGAAACCCTGGACAGAAGTTTAAAGCCCGTTACAATTTACTAGGAGAGCATGTCTTTAATATTGAGAGAACGTATGCTCTCTCAGATATTAAAACTTGCGTTATTTAGGTCACAGATTATTTACTTTATACAAGAATGATTTATGAAATATAAAGTCTTACTTAAGTTATATGAAAGACAAAAAGAACAATAAAAACAATCCATCCTTCAAGTCTAACCAGTCCCTAAAACGATAACATTCTACATTGACGCACAACTATTCCTATAATTGATGATAGGTTAGAATTCACCATGGACTGACATCAGTTGGAGGAAGATTAGAAACCTGAGAGAACTGGACAGCTGTTTCACCCCAGTGTGAGACTCCTCAGCAGTGCGCACCCATGATACCGTCCCACCAGGCATAGAACCCAGGATCTTCAGGTTTCGTGGCCAGCACGTTACCATAGTCATCGAAAATTGATTGTACGATTGTGTGTCAAGGCTGTTAGTTACAGATATACACTATCTACCTGATATCTAAAAGAAATAAGACTTAAGAATGTGTTGAGAAGTGTCTTTTGTGTAAGCGCTATATTATAATCAAGTCCTTCAAAACTGTTTATAAAGTCAATTGAAACGCTGAGAAGACGTTTTTGCTCAAAATTTACGCACAGTAAAAGTTTTAGCGATTTAAAAATAAACAGTGCGAATACATTAGAGGATTCAAATTTCTTATTGTGATAACCTGAACCCAGTATCTCCTTGGCTGATTATTTTACTAGTTCTAACAACGTGTTTACCATCATCATTCGTATAAGTCTTTGTATCATTCTTCAGCATCTTTACATTTGTTAAATAAATGTTTCTCCCTAAGCTGTATATTTGGAACCAATTTTCGATATGTTAAATTTCGCATATGTTTTCCATCTACTACTTAAAAAATTCAAACAGAATTACTACGAAAAAAAATACTACTAACAATGTTTGCAAATTGCATTGGTTTGACAGTCTCACTACATTGAAGTATCTGCTAGACAGAGAGACAGAAAGACAAACTCAACGTAGAACCTCGCACACAGGTGCATCGCTTCAAGTTGCCACACTCTTCACGGTAATACACAAAGAACAAGTGTATAGAAAAAGAGCAATTCCAAAATAAGCAAAGTTGTATGAGAGAATCAACAATGTGAAGGTAGAGGTTAGTGTGAATATTTAAAGAGTAAATACATCTGTGCCACTGTGACCAATTTTCAATCATATCACCAAGAATCCTCAACTGCTGATTCATTTCGCCTCAGCAACCTCAGGGATTCAGTCTACATCTCTCCACATAACTTAGACGAACAGTCAGAGAGTTCATCGACTGGCTGCACATCCCGGTCGAAACACTCTGAAACCTCTTTCAACTTCCCTAGCATGACGTATCTCAGTTGAATACAGTCACAAAACGATATAATGGACTAAGGATCAGAAATCGCATTCTATGCAACGAAGTCAGTACAACATACCATGTCGTAAAATTAGTTGTCTTATCATGGTCTTTATTTTTGGATTACTGCAACTGACAAATATGATTTATATATACTGTATTAGAGAGATTTATTGCTAGCGTAATACGTTTATTTGGTTTGGGCCTCATAAACACCGTTTTCTATAAGTGATCAATACCTAATCGCGAAGTAAGTCATAGAGTGTTCATCTCAAAGTACTACTTTTACTAGTAGTCAAAACAAAGATGGCTTTACTGCACAACATATAAATCAAATGTTGATAACCAAGCACGTAATTTAAACAAATTCAATTGATGAAGTTCTATATCATAACTACCAATGAAATGCTCTTTCTGATTCTTCCAATATATTCTGTCATCATACTGTTCGGCAAACACTACTATGTAAGACACTGCTATCGGTGAAGATGTATACACAAGAGAAATCGTTTAACAGTAGGAATGAATAAACGACTGACCTTGTCTGTTGACTTAGCCACAATACCAAAACAACAGGGTATTTCGTTTCCAATAATCCTCTCCAAAAGGCATCCACGTAAACTACTACCAACAGCAAAGGATGACGATCGTTGAGCATAGACACTGAAAGAATTTTTCTCAGTAGGTACAGTAGTGGTACTGTGCAATTTAGTGGAATCACAACCGTTGATATTCCCACTCATTGAAGCAGATGATTTGGGGAGATCATTCATCTTAGTTCGTTGGTGAGGAGCAGGACCACGCCATGAGAAAGTGATAGTCACTTCTAAATTTTCCTTGTTCCAACTCAAAATCTTCCAATAAAATACAGTGACTGGAAGACATGTCACCTGATAGTCATGTGGTATTACAGGAGATATCTAGGAGAAACAAGCAAAATGTGTGTCATTATATATCAATCGAATGCGAACAATTCCTTTACAGATGATGGCAAAATAGAAGGCCACTTACTAACTTTTTGCCACCAGATATTGGTAAAAATGATTACAGTAAGTAACAAGATCGGAAATTAACTGACGAAGCTATAAGTGAATTTGCCTTGTCTGAGAATAATTAGAGTTCTATCTAACAGTACCAAGTCGCACCCTATGCATAGTTTGCTGAAGAAAAAAAAAAATTATAACAATCTCAAAGTAGTTTTCATCACACACTGGAATTAATTGGATAACCACAGAGGATCTGGAAGCGCTGAAGAGCTGCTTCCTCTTAGTTAGAACTCCTCAACAGTATGTACGCATGAAAGCATGAGGAATTGAAACCAGAATCATCGGACCTTCAAGAAAGCGCACTATCATTCAGTCCCTAGCAGGAATTCCATGTTTTACATTTTTCTATAGGTGCTAATCCTGTCAATGTACTATCACTTATCAACCAATACCATCAGTGAGTAACCGTATTTTTATCAGTTTAGTAAATGGAGAAGTGACACTTCTATCGTCTGATGATTCACTACTATTCTGATGAGCGACTCATAGCCATCAATCAATTAATCATGTTTTCGTGATTTCAGTTAGAATGGCTATTTTTTATGAGATAAAGGCAAATAATTGGCTACTTCATAAATTATTAAGGTGTCCCTTTAGTGCTACACAATCTGGCTAAACAGACAAATTTGAGACACTCTAAAGACCACTGTAGCAAATACCGAAATACCAATTAAGTTTTTTTGTTCTGTGTGAAAACTACTTTTGCAACTGAAATAAACTAGAGTGGTCATTTAAACGGTTGCTACGATGATTTTTAGAGTCAACCGACTAATATTAGGCTGGAAATTGAAGTAGAATTCCGCATGACTCATACATGTATATTTCGTATCATGGTTGATCCACAGAAAGAGAGTTGAAGAATCATATAGTTTGATTTCCTACATTCATATTTTTATCATCCATTGTCCATCAATGTGATCTACGCTACTCACTGTAGAAGTGAGAACAGTTTTTGCTCAATAGAGGAAAGCTTACATACTCTTGTAGTTCACCACAGTTTTCTTACTCACTTCAACAGAAATGAAGGTGCTAGCCACTCAAATAGATTGAAAACAGAATATACAATAGTTTTTACGGATTAATTATGAAAAGGGTAAGTTTTTCCTACTTCACTAGCATCTAATTTACTTGAACTTACTTCAAAGGTACAATATTAGTAGGATGGAACACATTCATCAATCATCGATTAATATACAATAGAAAAATTTCCCCTAAACGGTGTAATTTATTTACTGGATAAAATAATTAAATACATATAAAAATTGGAGTTACAAAATGGCTGGTCTTATATTTCATACTTGCTGGCATACTAATACAAGATGGAGTTCAGGAATTTCATAAATTGTCCATGATCGGGGATACAAACCAACATAATTACCATTTTCAGGACGAAAACCCCATAGCCATTTTCTTAATCCTTTTTCATTTGTTGGTGGTTTAGTTAGAGGTGATAAAACTTGATGATAAACAGTTAAACCGTTCTTTCTGACAGTTGCTATGAACTGAATGGAAAGAGAGACAGAAAGGGTAATTAAGATGCCTAAAAACTAATAAAAAGTAATACAAAAACAATTAAACATTTAGTTGTTTGTACAGAAATGATTTCATCACAAATTGACATCAACTAGGAAATTAATGAAAATCAAAGAGTACCAGATGTCTCAAAAGTGTGCATAAGTGACTTTATATAGAATCAGTCTAAGGACAATAAGGTCTCGTGATAGGTATATTACTATCCGAATAGTGAGTTCCAACTTAAGTGATCAAAAATTTTAGATTTTATGATGAGTAATACAGTGTGAATTATATGTAGTATCCGACACATAGGAATACCCTTTTAGTTCACTTAGAGGTATATAATATCAATGCGGAACCGTTAAGTTCAATTATTATTATATTATTATTAGTCCCTTGGGTTCCTAGTGGAACATAGGGCTTCAGTAGCACGCCTCCAGTGACCTCTGTTCTCTGAGATCTTTTGGACCTGGTTCCACGACAGCCCAGAAGCTCTCATTTCCTCGTTAAGTTCAATACGTGAAGCTATTTACGTAACCTTTTGCTAGTGCATGACTCGATTAGTAGTTCGGACACTTGAAAATTCAGCTGTCTAGCGTGACCTTGCTAAGTTTTCCCGTTTGAAAATTTGGTTCATCTATACGGTTCAATTTATTTATAAGTACTATTCGCCCACCTTCGCTAGGTGACATAATGACTGATTTCTATGTTCTTCTAACAGATGAGCTTTTTGCATATATACTCAAGAAGACGGTTTAGAACAGGTAATTTGAGACCAACATATTTATTAGTTGTCAGTGGAATTATGTCTTTTGCTTGATTAAGTCAATTACCCAACTAGGATTTTGATGTTTTAGTGAGAGTCCCATACCTACAGATAAGACATGCAATTTAAAAGCAGACAGTAATACAGCTGAATATCATAGGAGAATGCTTAGTAGACCTAAAGTACGCAGATGACACAGTTCGGTTAGGTGAAGACGCTGACAAGATGCAGAGTTTTCTAGGCACCTTAAGTGCAAATTTGAGAATGTTTGAGATACGTTCTCACCCCTCAAGTCTAAACTGTTGGTTCAGGATAGGTCTTCAGTGGTGTACTGGATGACAACAGGGATTGAAGTGGTTGAACGTGTTGAACACTTCACTTACGTGAGAAGCCAGATCAGCTCTCATAGATCAGTTGCTGATGAAATCTCTGCCCCGATACAAAAGGATTGCTTAGTTTTCGCCACCTTACACCATCCCTGGCACCATCGTGATATCTGGTTGCTTATTAGGTGCGACTAAGGGTAGATAACATGAGAAGGATTCAAATGTTGACCATCACTGCTTCCGTAGCATGGGAAATGTGTCTTGGTGCCACCGCATTAATGATGCAGAAGTTAGGCGCAGAATTTTGGGCAGAGGGAATTCAGCTAGTAAGGCTGTGAACCGTCATCAATTCAGGTGGACAGGCGTGTTACGTATGCCTAGTTACAGCCTGCATCGTTACGTAATGTTAGCGAAAGCCGGCTGAGGATGTTAGAAGGTCAATAAATAGTCCCAAAAAACATGGCATCAGTCCATGAAGTCTTGGACTGTTAGTCTAAGCAGTGTTAGTAAATGTAGACTTTATGACTGTAGTTTGTGTTACAGATAAAATCAGGGGTTGTGGCCTCTATCTGATAAAGCTAAGAATCGATCGATGGAATAGATGAATCTATACATAAGTACGCATATAGGGAGAAGGTAGCTAAGCATCTGTCTAAACATGACAGCGACGCTCATCCTGTGGAAACTTGGCATAATACTCAGTGTTATAGAAACAGTGATAAAACAAATGGTGACCAACACCCGAAGGTCAGCAAACGTCACTAAATTTCTGCATGGCCATCCAAACTGATGGATGAGAGATTGATTCCAGCTGACCATAATGAAGAGTGAAAGCAACTTAAACAAAAATTGACCAATAGTCTTCGTGATGATCGTGAGTAGTGGTGGGTAGTGAAAGCAAGCTACAGAGATGTAGAAGGCATCATCGTTAGGTAACATCCGTCAACTACTAAGCCACATTAAGGACAGTGATGATAAACGATAGTTCGTGAAACTACTACCGAAAAGGATTGATAACGGACAACCTCCAAGGAAAAGAGGCTACAACGTTGGGTAGATCACTTTCAAGTCCAGTTCAACTTCTCCACAACTACGACTCCTTTGCGCAACACCCAGTCTGAACATGGATGGAACTTAGATGACGGTTCACCAACAGTTCTCGATGTTGAGAAGGCTGACATGAGATATAGTTTGTATTGGTGTAAGTCACAACGTGTTGGAAACGAAATAATTCCAACATTTCGTATAGAAGTCTTCAGGGAAATAGCTATATCTAATGTCAACTTTTTATTCAGTGTCCAATATTTGCGATATTATTCAATTAAATCTTGATCATAGTTGAGGTTGTTTGAAACGTGCAACGATATAAAGCAGATTAACCTGACGCATTGGCTCCCGAAGATTTTAAGGATGGACGTAGCAAGTTGCTGATTAACGGAGCTTGCTAGGTAGTGTGTGGGAGTCAGAAGTAGTCCAGCAAAACTGGTGTACTTCACTGATAATCGTAGTCTTTAAGAAGGGAGAGAGGTCTTCTTCTGACAACCATAGGGGATTCTGTTTAACTAGCATCGTGTCCAAGACCGTAGGGTTTATAATTAACTGATACCTGACTGGAGCTAGAGAACAAACAAACTCGAGAAAACCAAGCAGATTTCAGACCTGGATGAGGGGGCATGGATCGGGTTCTCACCCTCCGACAGGTCCTGGGACACAAGCATACTTACCAGGCAGTGGCCAACACGCCATATTTCCTGACCTGAAGGAAGCGATCGACTCTGTCGACGGTGAGGAGCTGTAGCGGTCTCTGACTGTGAAACGAGTACCCAGCAAGAACATAACACTAATCTGAGTTCTCCAGTCGAACTCATGCAGATGTGTTAAAGGCTTATAGAATGTTTTCATCGATATTGACCACTAACAGTGGTGTCAGCCAGGGATGTCCACTGCCAACGTTCGCGTTCAAATTTGTCACAAGTGTACCAGTGGACATAACCTTAGATGTCTCCGACTTCACATAGACTGATCTACCCCCGAAGGGCATCCAGTTGATTGAGAGTATGTAGACGATATCGTCCAGCTTGGTGAAGACTCTGACAAAATACACGGTCTTATGGACCCGTTGAGCAGAAATCTGGGTGTGTTTGGCAAGCATTTCACTGATATCTGTCAAATGTAAGATGGTACCCAACGACTGATCTGCAACCACTCCCAGTTTAATGATAAAGAGTGAAGTGGTGGAATGTGTCGACCACTTCACTTACTTGGGAAGTTCCTTCAGCCCAAACCGGCTAGTTGTTGACAAAATCTCAGCTCATTTGGCATTCGTCAACTTGCGTCACCTGTAGTGGCAACTCGCGAGATATCTGACTGTCTATCGAAGGACTAGTGTATTGTGGTGCAGTTCGTTGGGTCCTGTTATACGGCTACAAGACAGCTATTAAAAGTTGAAGACATGAATGGATTACAAGTTATTGATCACATGTGCCTTCATACCATTGCTAGCGAGTAGTGGAATCACCCTGTGAGCAATGTTGAAGTCAGGCAAAGAGTGATAGGCAAAACAAGCACGCCAAATAATGAGGTTGTGAACCTACATAGGCTGAGGTGGCTTGGACACGTGTTGCGCATGAGGAGTCACCACCTACCTCGACGTACTATACTAGGAGAAGCTGGATTAGATCGGAAGAGGGTTCAGGGTGGCCAAACCAAGACGTGGCACTAGTCTTTTTGGTATCTCGCACAACTTTGTCTACTTTGAGATCAACCTTTTTCTATACACTTGTTTTTTGTATACCACTGTGAAATATGGCAACGTGAAAGGATGTACTTGTGTGCGAGGTCCCACATTTGTCTTTCTATCTATCTGTTTCTTTGTCTCTATCTCAGTCATCATACCGCCTTTGATTATTGTCTCAAACCTCCTTGTTTTCTTTTGACAACTCTCAATCATTTCTGAACTTCTTGGCTATTTCTCTTTAATTCGTCTTGATATATTGTTATTTTATGCCCTGATATGAAATGTGACAACTTGGACCACTATGTAGTAATGCGATGTTTTATGCTGATATGGTCGATCCGTCTGTGTGAATACCTGAAAACATTTCGCGGAAATCAAGAAATAACAGTTCAATGTTTACTGGCTTTAAACTGCAGTGCAGATTCATTTTGATGCTTTTTTATGAAAGCAACATATTAGGTTTCTCTTCTGAAGACAGACCAAACAAGACACGAAATCTTTGAGACAGACTGATTTTGCGGTTTCGTAATCGAGATGCAACTCAGTAAATGAATGCAGACCCATGAACAACGTTATGGAACTACGCCTATTTTCTAAGGCCTAGAGATATATAATTTGGGTTCCCGAATATTGGTACGTGAAGTCAGGTAAAAACGCATATCCGATTGGCTGAAAGTTAATTGCCCAGACAAGTATGCCAGAGATTCATTGATCGCGAGAGGACAGAAACAAAGTGATCCAAAGTGTGGCATTTCAAAGTGCGTAGAATGAGAAAAGTGTAGATGAATCTTAGATTTTAGCAAATATTTCTATACGCACCTCGGAAAGTGTGGCAGAAGAAAATTCATGAAACACAGGAACTAGGAGCAGCGAGTGGATGGTTTGCCTGCTAAATTTCAGTCTTCGAATTATATATGTATATATATATATATATCCAGTTGTTCGGAAGGTGACAGTCATTCGTAAACGATTAAAACATTTCGGCCCATCTAATAGCCTCGTTTAGGCATCCATTTACCCTATCATTTTATATCTACATGGTAATGATAGGTCTGAAAACTTATTGTTAACCGTGTTTTTACTTAAAAATGATTAAAAAGATGTAGTGTTACTTGTTTTGTACTGTTACTAGTCACGACATATGCATATATGAATCTTAAAATATAATGTGATATAATCGTTTGAACAAAAAGTCTCTAACACAATCCAAACATAGTTGTTGCATAGTTCAGTAAAAGTCATCTAAAAAGTAGTATTACAAACGATGATCTCACAAAATATAATGCTTAAAGTCACCTGGAATTAGTATAGGTACCAATAACATCCAGTGACAAAGTAATCTGAAGTAACAATCTAATGAGTAACCGGAAAACCAACTTAGTAAAAAAAAAGGATTCTTGCTACATCTATGATTTACAGATACACTCAAAAAAAGTGCAACGTTTCCAGGAGGAAATAACATTAGGACTAAGTTCGACAGAAAAGAGTAATTTCCCTACAAACAGATGGTGTTTGTTCCAAGGCTCGATAAAAAATATATTGCCAGAGTGAACGATAAGCATAAACAGATTTCAACGCAAATGAAGTCGTTTAGTTCGTCTTTTTTTAACTTACCTGATCAGCAGGTTGCACCTTGTAACAGTACATACCTGGTATCAGGGAAGATCGACAGAACTCTCCACGAAAACCACGCCCTATAGAGCCACTCCCAATACCACCCATCGGTACGCCATAAATCGGTTTCCAAGGTACATGGTTGACTGGATCAATGAAGGGTAGTCGTTGTTCGACGAAGCGTTTTTGTATATAAAACCGGAAAGTATATCTGAAACGTACATCATGAAAAGTGATTAAAAGTATAATTCCGTTTGCAGGTTTCCGGTTTACTTTGATCAGTAGGATTATTGTAAATTAGACTTAGAGAAATGGTAGCATTTCCGCCATCGGTTATATTACATTAATTCTCTGAACAGCTCGAAGATGTAACTCATCTGCAGATTCCGAAAGGGTGCACAATACACCATCTTACTGGTTGGCAATATTACGGTTTATCATGATAATTCTGTCGTATAAGAGTATTATATTTTATTTCTCACTAAACCATTATTTGAGGCCAAAGACTGAGGGGTCCCAAATACGAACGAGAACAAAGAATATCTAATGTGGAGCGGAATGAGTGCTTTTAGAATGTTTCAGAGCTAAATATGGCTTTGACTCAAACTACTGACTCTCTGAATAAATCCTGACTTTTAGCTGGCCCCTGAGTTTTGAAACTCTATGCAAGAGTCAGATTACTCATGAAACTAAATATCTAGTCAAGTGCCAACTCCATAAAAACTGTGTTTAGTGCATATGATCTAGTAACTGGTAAGATAGAATATGCTATCAGAAGATGGTGTGACTTATTTACTGATGTGCATTCGCCTCAGAATATGCAAAATTACAGTAACCATGCTTTATTAGGCTGCTACCTCTGAAGTCATCATGAAATATTCACTTTCGTTGTTAATAGACAAATTCAGAGGTGAAGCCAACCAGACAGAAAAATACTTCATACTTCACTGCTTAAGAATTTGAATGAACTTCAATTTATGAACAGACAAATGTATTGACAATCAAAGCACCTTTTGATTTAGGGGCTTTATTAACCTCTCCAGATCAGGCCATATCAAAAATGGCTTATTGGATCAGAAAACCAGGTAAACCCATCAATATACTGACAACCTTGCACACAAATATATATATATATATATATATATATATATATATATTCGTGTGCAATCAAGTATTCTCACTGTTTCGAACCAGCAAGAGAGTTGGGTAGGGTAACAATTTAAAACAACTCTTCTTTGACTCTATCATTGATCAGACTCTTGAGGTTTTAAAATATATAGTATAACAGTAGATTATTAATTTGAAGAGATGTCTACATATAATACAGAAAAGATATTATCTTACAGTACAAAAAATCCAAACCATTCAAAATTGCACCTAACTAGTTGGTGACTATTTTTGACAAATATGAAGTACTTTCGTGATTATTATTTTTGTCTAGCTGAAACGCAAACTTGGTATAACATTGACAGCAAGAAACGCACCACATGAAATGATATGAAAATAGTAGGAAGACATAAAAATGGTAGAGAGACGGAAACGAAAAAAAGTAAAGAAGCAAAATATAAACGGGTTGTTAGAGAAGTAGTTTCAAGAATGTATTTTTAGGAATAATCACTGATTTCTTTCTCTTTGTCGATGACACAATCAGTAAAAAGGTTGCATGACCGCCATCGATTTCGACTTAGAGCTATGTTTGCTATCATCACAAGCCACTGAGTTGCATGATCCCATTAAGTGAGTCGTAACACACTAACAGATAACGGTCAGATAAAACTAGGTAGTATTTCACGATATCACATGGTAAAATGAATACATATCCCTTTCTCCAATCGGCCTTAGCGATGATAAACGGCAAACGGTGTGGAAGTAGCTGGAGTGACAGTCACAATATGTCCAAGCTACTGACACCTATGTTTCAAGATAACTTCACCCAACGAATGACGATATCTATCGCGCCTAAGCGTATGCTACCTTAAACTCACAGCTACTTAGCCTAGGAACAGCAAACCGAAGAAAACTAAGTAGGTTTCAGATGAGACCATGAGTGTATCAACCCGATCTTCACCCTCTGCCAGATTCTGAAAAACACTAAGTATATTTTTTGACCCAAAGGCGACATTCGACTCCATCAGCTGAAAGGTCTCTAGCCAGTTTAACTCCGTATTAGGTTGCTTATTTGAGATATCACACAGCAATACGGTATTATTTACTGTCCATAATCAAACCAAAGTGAGGCAGTACCTCTCACTGAAAGTGATGCCGAATAGGTACATCACTCTGTTAAAAATTCTATGCTTAGACATCAGTGTGTGTGCGTCACAGCCTATCCTGAGGTATCAAGTAGGTGGTCAATATGAATTGTAATTTGTCAAGGATGTCCACTGTCTTCAAGTTTATTTACCTTTGTCATAGATGTGCTTATTGAGGTCTCACTCCTAGATACAGTTAACGGAGAATAACCTTGCCAAAGCGGGATCTTTAGTAAACCTAGAAATCACTGATTGCATAGTCTTGTCAGATGAGGGTGCTGACAAGATGCAGAATTTTCTAGATACCTTTGGTGACAATTTGAGAACGCTTGGGATGCGTTCGTCATCAGCCAAAGGCAAATTATTACTTCAGGATTGGTTTGTATAAATTCCTCATCTGATAAGTGATGTGACTGAATGCGTCAACCACTTTATTTACTCCAGAAAGATCAATCCTGATGCATCAGTAAGCTATTAAATCCTTGCATGGACACAAAATACTCGATTACGTTTATCCAGCTTACGCCATTTACGGCAATGACGTGATATCCAACTGCCAATTAAGTATCAGTTGTACTGAGGGGAATCTCACCTAGCTTTACTATATGTCTGTGAAAAAAGTTAGAGGATATGAGAAAGCTTCAGGTGCTCAACCAACGTAGAGTTTTAGGTGGAACAGCTAAGTTAGTTGATGAGGTTGTTAGGCTCCACTGAGTTAGATGACTAGGACACACACTACGCATGTCCAGTCACCATTTGGCCCACGTCATGTAACGTCAGCTGATATGGGTTTAGGCTGGAAAAAAATCTAAAGCAGTCAGGCTACAAAGTGGCATCAATACATGAAGACGCTGACTGTCGGTGCGAGCCGTGTAGGGAATTTTTAAACCCCCGGTTTGGGTCCAAGAGACAAATGAAACGGGTGATTGAATACTATAGGTAACAGCTCAAAATAGACCTCAGTGCAACAGATGCATGTACACATTAACTGCATCTTAATCATATACATCATATCATTATCTCCCCCACTTCACCTCTTTTCATTATGTTTTACGATGTCGTTTCCTATTTCTTTATCAGTCATATCGCTGTTTTTTCTCCTGTTGTGCTGACGTCAAGTACGATAACTTTTATCACTACACAATAATGCCAAGTCCCATGTTCATATTGAGTAATTAACTTGCACGCATTCCGAAGAACTTGCAAAGTATGAAAGTGACTATTATTCTAGATATCACTGGTAGCAGACTAATCACATATATCATCCAGCGTCTTTATTTTTAAACGAATACAACAATGTTCTGTTCCAGCATGATCGCAGTCTCTAAGTCTGCCACACTTTTCAGAACAATACAATCATTTCCCTGATTACAGTTCTATCTGTATCATTAAAAACAGCCATCGTTTGTTTCAGCCGAATATTATACGATGTATAACAACTTGCAGCTACTTCTGGATATCTAATCCTTTAACTTAATTACGGAGCATGAGACATTATTCGACGTTTCTTGAACTTTAAATCGGTTAAATTGTTTTCCAAAGTAATCCGCCAAACATTCTAGATGATTATGAAGATTTCAGATCGGTGTATCAACTACTTCATAGACAGTCTCATTGATACCAGGCTTCTCCTTACCAGTGACTGGGGTGGTCTGGAACAACTTCCAATTGTTTTCAGATAAAGCAGTCGCTCCCATCTGAGGTGTCTTAGACATCTAGCCTCTCTGTACCTGCGTATGTGCAGCATGGCCTGTTGCTTAAGGGGTTTCTGCATGCCAATCTACTGGCAATTTCTTGGAATAGACCGAAAAGTCTCAAAACGTAGCCAGCAGCTCGCAGAAATAGTGATCACTAGCGTCATGTTTTTAAAAGCCATAGAGAACTTTACTCGCCAATTTTTATAGCGTCATGTACATGCAACCAAGGCTGCTCAACATATTTTAGAATCTTGAAAGTTAATCTCAAATTTAGGACTATGATTTCGACGACTTCCAGAAAGCAAAATGAGCACAACAGATTGAAGCATCATCGAATTCCAAGAAGAGGCGCCTAAGAAGGATTGATAGTCATGACAACACCTAAGTCATCATTAGATAACTGAAACGCGATATATTTGAGTCTATAACTGAGTGACAGAGGGAGGACGCTAGACAGTACAGCAGCAGTAGCCGTGTGGAGAGTTGGCGCTGACTAAAAACAGGTTTCGATCTCCACAAACCTATAGAAGACGGTATGCATAATCCAACCTGCGACCGACCACTAGCCATCGCCTACCTAAAAAACCCTCCTGTAAGCTTATACGCCCAATGTGCGCATGCAATTTCCAAGCTAGTAAGTACTACGGTATCTGTTGCACGAACTTTACTAAGGTCCCTCAATTCATAATATGATTTAGACTTCATCCCAACCGGGTTGCGGTTAGTCGCAGTATAGGTAGGCATTAGAAAGCGACGTCGTTTGCTTTGCCAGTTAATTCTCACTTTAGCTGAACCTTACAGCCTAACAATACACAGATGACTTTATTGATTACCCAGTCAAAATGCATTCAGCAGCGTTGTGTACATTCGCGCTGTAGGCAATGAGTTACACATATTGTGTGAGGGTTAATGATGTTACGTGGCTGTTTAAACCTTGGTAGGTGGAGCAGGACTCAAATCCATGACCCAAAAGGGTTTCTTCGATAAGCGCACCTCTTGAACTGGCAAGTGGGGGATTCATTTGAATCAATTCACTGATTTGTATGCGGGTCTCTGAAAAACAACATGCAACAACAGCGAGGCTTTTTGGAGTCCTAACCAAAACTGCCTCTTGTCTGGTTTGCATCTAGATCTTATTGATGAATTTTGGTTGGAGACTTGTGATAAAGTTGAAAATTGTTTACGATAATCTAGATCTGTCCACTCTTTGACATCTTTTTAAGTCCGAACATTTTCACTTGTCTTAATTCTCAAACGCTTATTTCTCCCACATACATCTGTCTTAATTCTCAAATTCTTATTTCTCTCACACACATCTGTCTTTTTCTACTCACTTGTTCTTTCATGTTACTGTGAAGTGTGGCAAATTGAACCACTTCTTTTCTATGCGACGTTCTAAGTTTATTTTGTGTCTTTCGGTCTGACAGTTTTGGCATCAAATGTCTAGAGATTTGAAACAGTAAAACGCGATCCGAAATGCAGCTGAGTGAAACAAGAATACACGTCAAGACAAACTTGAAAACGTTAAGAAAATAATACAGTTCATGTGTAAAAACAACACCAGTAAAAAGACAAACTAATGACTGAGTAAGAGGTTTGTTTCACAATAAGTTCGGTTTGCCACAGGAAGATTTGACAGGTGCTTTATTGTCCCCATTCTACTTGTTATTTCGTGTTTGCATATAGGATGCGCTACTGCACAGAAACCCAGACGGAAGTAGATGGTGGCCACAGATGTTAACACTCCAAACCCTTCCCTGAGAGTTTGATCCAAAAGGTACTTAAAAAACATCAGGTATCACATTCCTATGGTTGATTGTGACCAAAGTAGGTCCAAACGCTACTTATCCGTTCCATATCTTAGGGTTTATGCTCACAACTGGTTTAGAATTAGGTTTTAACAGTTGTCCTAAATGGACCTTTGATATTCGCTGGTCTGGTTATAAGAGCCAGATTACCACTTTGCTTTCATCTTTGCGAAGACACCTCAGACACGTTGAGGCGGTAGGTAGGACTTTCCTGGTAATATGATACAACTCAGAAGCTAAATACAACTTTCGTACCATGCTATGCGTCGCGTTTTATCAGGGTTAGTAGTCATATGTTTTAAACCTTTATAACCACAGCAGCGTTAGAATTGATAGAATACTAGCTGAAACTTGATCATCTGAAAACCAGAAGGGTGTAACTGAAAGCGGTAATTTTAGACTCACTAGGAATAAAGATAGGAAGTTCAACGAAAAATAAAATGGGAAATACGAACCTGAAAGACATTCCTAGGACATCCTTCATTTGAGAAGGTCGTGGAACCGTGAATGGACGGCATTTGACTTTGCTTTTATTGTCGAAACGAGCTTTCCAACCATAAACAGGCACTACTCCAAGTTCTTGCATGACATTTAAAACAGAGTTATCATGCTGTTTATCCATCACCAACATAACGTTATCGAGAATCAATGGTATACTACATCACTCATTGATCCAGAAATATGAAGAGACAGAAAACTGGAAGGAAGTGTTGTTACTGACCGGAATCCAGTTTTTGAAGCAGGAAATCTAAAACAACGTTGAAAATATGGCGACATACAGACCGTTTAATTACATAGAAGTACGTAGGTATCAGCTCACCTACTGAAATATAGAATTTAATAGTGATGGTTTTCCGAAAACAAATAATTAAACCAAAAATACTACATTATGCTGGATAAGTTAGTTAGTGCTAGGAATCCCAACAACTTTTGGTTTCTTTACAAAGTAACAGTTTGTTACCGTCACTTCTTATGTAATAACGTAAGCTGATGCCAAGTCAACGATACCGACAAATTTAAAGTAACAATAAACTTCGAAGAGCAATGTAAAAATTAAAACTGTAAAAGCTCATTTTCACGCGGGGAAGGGGATAAACAATAGGTTTACAATAGCGAGAGAGTGCTGGCCACTGATATACCCCGCGTCAACTGCTATAATTCGATATCGCCACATAAATACGGTGTGTTTACAATGCATGAGACTAGGGATAACGGTCTACCTCTGTAAATCCATTCTATAGATAATACAACCCGTCGAAACCTAAATCATAACATACACTGTCTTTCGTTTGTAAACAAAGACCTCACAACACAACAGATAACGAGATTGCTTGTCATTTCGTAGAGGCACTGCTATGTTAGTGTGCAGACAGAGAGCCCAATTACGAGGCACTTCAAATACTTCGAAAATCAGGTATGCATACATAATTATGATTTGATGATGATGGATCTAATTAGATACCATTTTTTCCATCTCAACAAAACTCCGTGCGTGACTTACTTCCATTTTAAGTGGAACTATAGAATTTTACCATCCTCCAGAGACTTTGAAACGACTTTCAAGTCAAAGTGCTATTGATATGAAAAGCTTACAATTATTGAGAGTACTGATGTAGCAGATTTGAGATTGGCTTATGCCAAAAGTCGGTGATAGGTTCGACTGAATGGAAGTGAATTACTTTTCATATGACTTTCTCACACTATTTGTTGATTGCCTTAGCATTTTCTCGTGCCAGAATTTCCCCCAAAAAAATTATGTACAAGTTGTTACCTGAACATACTATATGATTACGCTGCACAGCCTACAACATAAAAAGCCTTTCCTGAACTACTTCAACCCAATGCTAATTCATTCACACATTGCAGTTATCATCCCCATAGGATGGGTAAAACCATTGCCTTCGTGTTCGAACCAATATTTATCAAAGCCACTGACAGATAAAGCGGTATCCAAATCGGTTGGTAGTAATTGACAGCTCTCTGATAATCAGTTATTTTTGAGTTAAAATGAGAATCGCCAACTAATTTAGAATTCCAATGACGAAATACTTCTGTCTCTCTTCGTATTGCAAGTGTTTAAGCTCCATTGTGACTCTTTCGTTAGTTGAGAGACGTGAAGGAAGATTAGAAGGTAATGATGGAGGAGATGGATAGCAGTCAGAAGAAACTTGAGTGCTGACAGTTGTGAGGGCGGTTGACACTTCCCGGCTGCCCACACCGTGGAAGGCTATTTCTTCTTAAGGTACATGAAAGAGATTTGTGTGACTGCACAGCCCATCAGACATCTGCTTGAGGCCTGTCACACGAAGCCTTTTGAGTATGATTATTTTGAACCTTTGAATTTTTGGGGCCGGATGGTGGAAAGGAAACGACAAATGAACCAACACCGCCGGCTCAGCAGACCGTGGGGCATGGTGGAGTGTGTTGTTTCTGGGGCCACACTTTTCTAACCCCCCCTCCCCCCACCTTCCACTGAGAAGGCGGCATCAGCATAGCACTGCTGGTCATCCAAGGGAAACACCTTACTGCTGTCACACCCCATCCAGTTAGCAGCAGTACGACTTCGCCCTCAGACCCCCATCATAGTGTAGCAACTTACACCACAACGGTAACTGCATTTCGTCTAACCACTATCCAACAGACCTTTCTGGTACGGTAGGACCTCGAGGGAACAAGTGTTCCACCAGCAAAGCTCGTCGGGTCATTGTGATATGTAAGCCCGACCACCACGTCAAGGTAGCAGCTACCGGTCGAGACACGTACTACGTATGCCCAGTCACCAATTACCTAGTCACACAATGTTGGCCGAAGTAGGCTCAGGCTGGAAAAAGGCATGAGGTGGCCAGACTAAAACATGGCACCGATGTATGAAGTCTTTGACTGTTGGTTTAAGCCATTTAGGACGACGCAGACTAGGTGGTTGGGGTCTGCGGGACAAGAGGAACCAATGGTTGGAGACTCTAGGTGATAAGGCTCAGAACCGATGTCAGTGACGCAGATGTATTATTATTAATTGTTATTAGTCCCTTGGTTTCCTAATGGAACATAGGGCTTCAGTAGCATGTCTCCAGTGAACTCTGTTCTCTGGAATCTTTCCAACCTGGCTCCACGACAGCCCACAAGCTCCCATTTCCTCCTCGCATGATCTCCTCCATGTCACCCTCAGACGTCCAACTCGTCGCTTCCCATGGGGATTCCACTCGAGTACCTGGCCTGGCGCGTAATGTACGCAGTCGTCCTTCTCAGGGTATGCCCAATCCATCTTCATTTCCTCCTGCATATTTGTTGCGTGATAGGTTGTTGGTTGGTTCGTTCCCAGAGCTCCTTGTTGCTTATTCTTTCTGACCATCTGATCATCAGTAACGAGCCAGTGTAGGCAGTTGTTGATGAATATCTGTAGTTTACTGGAAATCCCTTTCGTAACGCGCCAAGTCTTTGAACCATACAGAAGCACTGACTTGACGTTGGTGTTGAAAATCCAGATCTTGTTCCACATGCTGACTGCAGTGCAGTAGATCTCCACACTGGTTTCAGGTCAATGAACGCCTGTCTTGCTTTTCCGATTCTGACTTTGACATCCTCGTCTGTCCCGCCTGTAGTTGAAACAGTGCTGCCTAGATAGGTGAAGGAGGTTACTTCCCTTAAGTTTCTCCCGTTGATGGTGATTGGAGTTTGTTGTTGGTGGTGGTGCGGTATCTTCATCACTTCTGTCTTTTCTATATTCACCTGAAATCCAGTCTTCGCTACCTTGCCTCTTCTGCCAACTTGTTAGTTTTCGCCTGTAGATCTTCAAGTTAGTGTGACACCAGGCACAGGTCATCGTTGGCGAAATCCAAGTCTTCTAGGTTCTTTTCCACAGTTCATCGTATGCCCCTCTTCTCGCTCCCCACTGTTTGCTGCATGATCCAGTCGACCACAATCAGGAATATCATGGGGGATAGTAGGCAACATTGTTTCACCCCTGTCTTCACTTCACTTCACTTCGAAGGCATCACTGAGCTTCCCATTGTGAATTACTTGGCCGGCATGTGGCGTCTTCATATAATTATGAATGAGGTTGATAAAGGTTTGCGGTACTCCATAGTAGAGGAACGAATGGTTGGAGACTCTAGGTGATAAGGCTCAGAACCGATGTCAGTGGCGCAGAAGTATTATTATTAATTGTTACTAGTCCCTTGGGTTCCTAACGGAACATAGGGCTTCGGTAGCACGTCTCCAGTGAACTCTGTTCTCTGAGATCTTTTGAACCTGGCTCCACGACAGCCCAGAAGCTTCCATTTCCTCCCCGCACGATCTCCTCCATGTCACCCTCGGATATGTGAATTACTTGGCCGGCATGTAGCGTCTTCATACAATTGTTGAATGAGGCTGATTAAGGTTTGCGGTACTCCGTAGTAATGAAGCAGTTTCCAAATTACCTCTCGGTCGACGCTGTCAAAGGCCTTCTCAAAGTCGATAAAGTTGAGGTAGAGAGTTGACTGCCATTCTATACTCTGTTCTATGATGATGCGAAGCGTTGCAATTCGGTCCACACATGATTTGTACTTCCTGAAGCCAGCCAGTGTTTTCCGGTCGTAGTTTTGAACCCAGTGCATCCTTTAGCTTCTCCAGGATGATGCGGCCTAATATTTTGCTTGCTGTGGGTGGACAGGAGAGTGATTCCCCGCCAGTTCTTGCAAACACTGAGGTCTCCCTTCTTCGACAGTTTCACAAAGTAACCCTTCTTCCAATCGCCAGGTACCTTCTCTTCCTTCCACACCTTCTGCAATAGTGGTGTGAGCATGTCCGCTGTTGTCCATGCGTCTGTTCTCAGTGTTTCTGGCGGGATCCCATCTGGTCCTGCTGCTTTCCCGCATCTCAGTAGCTTTATGGCAATCAGGACTTCCATTTTTGTTGGAGGATTCATGTTCACTTGTAGTTCAGCAGCTGCAGGTGGTATTTCTAGACGAAGTCCAGGTGGTGGTCGGTTCAAGAGCTTCTTGAAGTGGTCGGCCCATCGTTTCCTTTGTTTCTCTTCTTTCGTAATCAAATTTCCTTCACCATCTTTTATTGGTTCCATTCGCATTGATCTCTTCCCTGATAGCAACCTGGTTATTTGATACAATGTTGTCAGGTCTCTGTCTCTCCTACCTGCAGCCTGTTATGCTTCACTTGCCAGTGTTTCGTAGAAGTGTCTTCTGTCTTTCCGTACACCCTCCTTCTTCACTTCTTTGTCCAGTGTTGTGTTTTATACATTGTGCTCAGTTCCGCTTGTCGTTGAGCATCCTTGCACTGGTTTATCTTCTGCTTCACCCTCCTCCTCTCCCTGCTCTATCAGCTTCCAGGTATCCGTCGAGATCCATTCCACTCCTTGTCTTCTTTCTTCTTCCTTCCTAATACGGCTGTGCAGGTTTCTTTCCACATCTCTTTCAAAGACTTCCAGTGTTCTTCCACACCGGTTTCTTCAGGGATGTTCCTCTATATCTCCCATTTTGTCTTGATGCCTGGCTACCGTGAGGATCTCCTTTGTAGTTTCATCCTTCAGTTTCCGAGTGTTGTACTTGAACTGCGGTCTGTCACCAGCTTCCTTGAAGGCTTTAAACTTGATTTTGCAGGTGGGTTCCTTGCACTAGAAAGTGTGTTGTCTGGACCTACATCCGCTACTCTTCTT